TAGCTTTCATGCTGTCTTCTAATTTTGAAATTTTTGTTTCGTTTCACTAAACTTATTCTCTGAATTTGAAAAAGTTTATCTATTTCTTGATAAGTTGTTCTTATTTTCTTCAATCCTTCGCTTAAATAAAATAAAAGCATATTTACTTGTTTTCGGCAGTGTCACGAAGATTTCAGTTCAGAGATGAACAAAATTTAACTACAATAATAATATAGTAATACCTCGGTTTTCGTTGACTTCGGTTATCGTCGGTTTCGGTTTCCGTCGACTTTTTTCACGAAAAATTTGTCTCGGATTTCGTCGGCGTGCTCAAGTGTCCTCGCTGCTAATTTTGCGAAAACAAAGGGCACTCCCATGCGTTTTCCGGTGCAGTGTGGCGTTATTTCTCGTTGTGTGAACATTACCCCGCGACGGCCCACCATTGGCCAACGGTTACGTTCTCTGAATACTGGGAGTTCGGTCGTGGGTTCGCGCTTCGCTAGGGCGAGCTGGCCATGTGAAGTTTTCCGGGTTTCCTCCACGTCTGTAATGCCTGAATAGGGGCCAGTTACCCTTAAACGGATTTCCCGGAATGCATTATTCCCTTCGATACGACCATCATAAACGCATACAACTACTATTACATGACAATTACGTCACACTTTACTACGGGGCGATATAGGCTAGAAGCCCATATCCAACTAGCTCCTACAAGACAAGACAATTACCGCGCGTGTCTAGCCGAACAATTCCATTGCTTTTATCTTAATGCTAATTATCTTATCTTTAATCTTAATGCTAATTAGTCTTTTATGTCAATTTCTTATTGCTTTTAGTATTAACGCTATATTAATTCTCTATAAAATGTGTTTTTGGTATGTATTTTGGAGTGTCTAGAACGAATTAATTGGATTTACATTGATTCATATGGAAATAATTGCCTCGGTTTTCGTCGGTTTCGGATTTCGCCGATAGTTTTCGGACGGATTATCGACGAAAACGATGTATCACTGTAATAATAAACATGACATTCTGATTTCCTCTTACAATATGGCTTCCAGTCGGCCCCGAGCGAGCACGTGATAGCAAACGTAACATTTGCAAGTTGAATAAAATTCAACTTAAAAATGTTACGTTTGCTATCACGACTTAAAAATCAGTGATAACGAAATTATTTAGGCAAAACGTGCGCAATCTCGTCACTTCAACCAATAAGGAGCTAAATAGACTTGCAACATACTATCAATAATTTCAATTGATAGCCGTTGAATGTGTTCCTCTCCGGTCTGACGTCATACTAAGCTAATCAATGGTGATTTGCAGTTGAGCTTTGGAACGTAACCACACTGTGGTGAAACGTCGACATTGTTAATAAAATAAATTAGCAATATTACGTGGCAATATGTTTAATAGTTAAATAGCTCGGATCCTCGAGTTGTCCCTCTAAGGATCCGAGATAGAATCTGGATTGGATTATTTGCACGGCAGCATCGTCAAAGGGGAATGCCGCCCGGGAGAATTTTCTACGGGATACTGCCCCTATTTAAATGTTACAAACGTGAAGAAAACCCGGAAAATTCCACGTGGCCAACCCGTTGGCCATACACGAACCCACCATCAACCATCAATGCTGTGGTTTTATCCACTCGCCACTGGTGGACCAATCGGTAATTTTCGGGACTTGTCCGTACCGGATATGTCGGAGCAGTCCCTCACATCCCCCAATTGTCCCATTGTGCTTCCAAAGTTAAATACAGTAGAGCGTCGATTTTCCGAATCAATTGGGGACTGGGGTTGTCCGGATAACTGATATTTCGAATAACTGATTTACGTACGAAAAAATAGTTTAACGTATCCGATGTCGAAATTTATCTCCCATGCTTGTCGCTTCGCGTTGAATTTTCGTCGATGTTAAGCCTAACGAAGGCTATTGTATCATTAAAAATTATTTTTTTTTATTTTGTACAAACAAAATAAATATATTGAAAAATATAAAAATAAAAATATATATACTTTAGAAGTTGATGTAGTATAAAAAACGTTCGATTCGGCACGACACACAGTTCACGTGCGACTAAATATCCAGATGGCACAACGCGCTGATTGGTTGGCTGAATGACGTCAACCCACCGAAATAGGAAATGCTGGTCGATGTGGTTGTCAGAACGAAGTCACGCAGAAATAGATTATTTTTTTAGTTGCAATATTGAGTGAGTATAAAGTGAAAATACAGTATAAAGTTTAGCTCTCATGTTTCCTTAAATTTATAGGAATAATTTTAAAATGGTTTACTTTTAATAAATTAATACGATTATTTATTTTTTTGAACAAATTTTAACTTTATACTTGATCTTTATGCACCTCTGAAGCAATCATATACAATAGATAATTTTAATAGTGCGATTAGTGTTTTAAATTTACGTGCACAGATAATAAATAACAGAAAATTTATACTTTGTTACAGATATTATTCATAAAAAGTTCGAGAAAGGATGAAATTTATAACTAAGACAAGTCAGAATATTTTTTTAATTTGTCATATGCATTTAATATAGTTAGATGAAACAATTAAATTATACCTCTGAAAGAGAAATTTTCACAAATCTTGCTTAACAAATTAAATGTAAAAGTTATTGAACAATTTTCAATAAAGAATAGGCCTATTCTCCATAGATTACTCTCATCAGAAAATTTTTTTTAATGCTTTAGTTAGGATTGACAGTTCTTTCTATCGATAGATATTTCGTGCTTTTGAATGTCAATTCAAAATCTGTGTGTTAAGAAACAACACTTTTCAAATTCAGAAATTTCATGTATCCAGTTCCATAATAGATATATCTGTAAATATGTTTAATCAAATTTGTATGACCATTTTTCAAATTAAAAGTATAGAATTCTTGTATAAATTATTTAACAATCAATAATACTGTAAGTATTTAAATTCCTTTGAATAT